TGAATTTTTCCCCGTACTTTTTTGAATTTTTAACGTTACTTATTGCAAGAAACATACATTCTTACAAATGGCCATTGCCTGAGGGCCTTCAGCCTAGAATACACTTCTTTTGTACAGTATCAAATTATCTCTATCAGGAGTTGTACATATGTGGTTCAATGTTGATGATAGACGTGAGAAAAGGAGAGAAAGAAAAAAAAGAGAAATTAAAATGGTGATGAGACTGAACTTTTGAAAATTCATTGTACAGGAATTGTTATGCTGATGGTACATTTTTTCTCAAGGTGAGAGATGAATAGGATAAACGTGAAGAGCGTACGAACTGTAAATTTTTTCCCGTAATTCTGTGAAAATTTCACAGAAATCTCGGGAAATTTTACTAGAAATCCTGAGAAATTGTACCTTAACAGCACTAGAATTTTTCACAACCGGTGGATTATGATTTTTTTTCAGTACTCATACTAGAATTTTTCTAGAAAATTTCTCTCCGCGTAAACCTTTACTGGGAATAAGAAAAATTGATTTAGAGTGTACTTTGACTATTGTGTTATTTCTTAAACGTGGAGACCTAACTCTTTCTAGAGGGAAAAAACGAATAGAAAACGAAAGTGAGAGCCGATTGAGTGATATTACTCGAAGGAGGGTAATACCGCCTAATCGGCTCTCAGTTTCCTTTTTTGTTCGCTCGGCAGAAATCCAATATTACTCATAGTCTCCTAGGTGTATCTCTCGCGGTATAATCCAATCTCGAACCAACCACTGTCGAATTATAGAAAAAAAAATGAAATGACTGGAGTGACTATTGACAAACAGAAAGAGCAATAATATTTGTTATATATTATGAAACAATAAACAATAAGAAATACAGAGCATTTCTTACGATATTGATTATTATAGCTCATCGTAAAAGAACATCCGACATTTCTTGCTCGATGTTGTTGGGTTTTAGACACTTCTGGTCATTACAACACATAGAATTGCGTTGTGGTATTCTCAACAAAATTATCAATAATGATTAATTCGAGTCGAGTAAAAAGTACCAATTAGGCTCAAACCGCGTAAGAAAGTGCTAGGAATCCGATAACAGCAGCTTTGTAACACAATTTGGGGTAACACAATTTCAACTATGAAAACGCTAATTTACGGCTCCTCCAGTAGGGGGAGCGTAGGTCAAAACAGACCAGGAGGGCAAACCGGACCCCTAGGGCAAAATGGACCACTGACGGAAAATTGGGAATTTTTTTTCCTTTCCTTCAAATTAGGAATACTGAATGTATTGAATTAAAAGTGAATTTCTTGGATCGTAACCATCACAGGGGTCTTATAGACAACAAGTGTCGTTGAACCGCAATCCGATCAGATTTGCTAATCACCTCAAACCACAAATGACTTTGAATTTGCTCCATTCAGAAGCAAAAACAAAAATTATCAATTTTCTGGCAGTGGTCCGTTTCGCCCTACCCTCCCCTAATTAAGTTGTCCATCGCAAAGGCATCAAGCCTCTATGTTATTTAATATTTACTGTGATATATGGAGTGATTTTTTTTTAATTGCATCATTCTATCATGTCAAACATCTTGTCAAGACGAAGAAAAAAATCAAATTGAGCTGTGAAGAAATCCGGGTGAGTGGTACTGTCCGCCGAGCGGTACGCTGAGGAAAAAAATTAAATTTCATGGACAGTTGACTACCAATTTTCAGGACCGTGATACTCAATGCAATTTAGAGGGAAAAATCATGACATTTCAGGTTTCAATAAAAATTCAGTAATATCCCAGAATTTTAAGGGACATAAAAATGAGAATTCCTTAAATTATTTGAATTTCCAATCTAATATGAATATTCAGTGTTAAATTGTATTGAATTTTCAGTGAAATCTGAAATTTTTCCCTATAAATCGCATTCAGTGTCACTATCCTGAAAATTCAAGAACATATTTATCAGAATTTTCTGGTTTTCTATTCATTTTCAGGGAAAAATGGGAGAAAATTTACAGTTCTATTTGATTTTTCCATGAAATTCTGAATTTTCACGATAAAACGATAAAACTTTCCTTAATTTGGCACGGAAAATTCAAACAAAATTTTTTAACAGTGTACTTGTATCAAGAAACTCATTGCTTGAAAATTTTAAAGAGCAAAATATCTTGCACCAAGAAAAAAAACTTTTGTCAAGAAATTTTGCTCGAGGACAATTTCTTGATAACAAGAAAGCGATTTATCAAACCAAGTGAAATTTAATCAATTCATTTAATAGTTTTCCAACCTCAATTCTAAAATATTTTAATGCAAAAACCACTTAAATTGATTTGACAGCTCGTTTTCTTGATATGAATCAATTGCCCTCATCTTTCGGAGAAGCCTCAAATTTCTTAGCGTAAGATTTTTTCTTCTTAGTGTGAGATATTGTGCGATTGGTAATTTTTGGCCATGAATTTCTTGATATAAGGAAGCCGTACTTCTCAAAAAACTCTCTTCTTCTCAGTGTACAGACTCAACCTCCCCTAATAGCTGCGGCGTAACCCTTGGTTTCTCAACGACGACGTGATCGTCACATCACACCTTGAGAATCCGAAATGTTTCGAGGAGTAGTAGGCACAACTCTCCAACCCCGATCGTTTTTCCTTGAATCTCGACAAGAACTTCATTATTTCGCTCCACCGGTTTTCATCTCCGCACCCCCAGTCCTCGAACAATACTCGAAATGAAGAGAACAAAAGAGACAATAGAGAAGGAGAAAAGTGCTCACGAGGGGTTTGTGTGTAGATAATACCCTGTACACCTATATACCATAGTTAACGAATCCTCAAAGAGGACACACCCTTCGTCTTCACCATGGCTCGTCAATATTGATTGGATTAGCAAGAGCCTGTAATCGATAAACAAAAGAGGGGGAAAACTCTCTCTTCGTTACCATCGTGAAACAGCAAAATTGTTTAATATAAAAACACAGCATCCCATGAACCCAGAACAAATTGAAAATTCCTCAGACGCAATTAATTCAAATATTTCCCTCCAATAGAATTTAATGGAACCATACCCATGCACACCGTATCAATCTCCATTTATTTATTTATACCCTCCATCAAATTAAAAACCATCAATCATGAATAACACGAATCCCACGGCGTCGACTGCAATTTCCGAAAATCTTAATGATAAAATATATTCAATTATCCACGTAAATTCAACCCCAAAATTTATTCACCAAACACTCGTATGAGGTATTGCAAGTCAAATAGATCAACAATTTGGCAGCAAAATTGTTGACTTTTATTGACTTTTCAATGAAATCGGAAATTTAATGATTTTTGCCCCCTAAATCGCATTCAATGTTGCTCTCCTGAAAATTACCAGTCGACTGTCCATGACAGTTTATTTTTTTTTCCAACAGTGTACAGAAAAATTCTAAAAAAAATCAGGAGATTGTTGTTTAAGGCACTCAATCCTGTAAACAATCCTCAATCCCGTTCGAGGAGGAGAGGTAGGGGTTGGCCGATTTGACGTGAAATACCTCATATCCTTTCTGGCTCCCACACCAGATACCTCGGGTTTGAGATTGACTACAACTTCAACCTTAAAACCCATGTCAATATTATTTTTTAAAATTGCATTTCGAGAAGTTTCAATTTTCTCCGACTTATCTGCAAAGACATGGGCTCAATATACGTTATATAATCAAAGTATACAAAGCCATTTGCAATTATATAAACTAGAAAAGTTTTTTTTAGGCTGTGTGACGAGTGATATTTTTTGTCGGACGCTACGCGTTCATGAATCACTGCCTACAGCCGTTATGACAAAAAACGACAAAACTGTCGGCCAAACGAGAATCTCCACACCCTCTCGAACACCCTACTATACGAACGCACCCAAATAGAACCCATCACAAACGGATTCAAGAAACTGATCCGACAAATTTGGCAAATTTCACTCTTGATTAACTGAACTATATTCCCCACCTCTGTCACAAGCCCATTCCCAACGTCAAAATTTGATACAAAAATTCGCAACAAACCCTTTCAGAAAACCACGTAAAAATCATTCTCCGTTACACAAAAATTAGACAAAAAATTGGAGCAATTATTCACGTTCAGTGGGATAATTTTTTATGGAATTCAGGGTTAATTTTACAGTTTTGTTATAAATCATCTTCACGTTCAGTGAATTTTGCCGGACCATCGGAGTAAAATTCACTGTTAATCTCGTACTTTTTCCCGATTTAACCCTAGATTGGTCACCAATAAGGGAAACACCGCCGCGTCGTTTTTCTTAAAAAAAAAAAATGAACTTTGTCAATTGAAGTGTCAAAAAAATTATAGTAGTTTTTAGAGCAACATATTTCCCAAAATTCCCAAAGAAAACAAATTATTCCGAACGGATAAATTATTTTTTCCCATGTTAAATGAAATTGCCCGAGACCCGACGTTGCCGGAAACGCACTCAACGCGCCCGGGCAGTGTAGAATAAATTCGGCAACGCTAAACCCTAAATAATACGGCGACGAATCGCCGCGGAGGTGACCAAAGTCGCAGGGTCGCGTTTGGTGACCCAACTAGGGTTTTTTTTTATTGTTTAAAGTGCTCAACTCTGAATTGAATTATTTACACTGCCGCTTATTAAAACAATATTGGGTGTAGACCCTTGCGTATAACAGTTATTGGTTTAGCATATTTCATAGCATTCTAATTTTTCATCCTTACAGCATAACATTTTTTTTTTAGAATTCTGCACTTTTAGATCACATTCTTTAAGAAAACAGACAAGGGTTAAGGGGAAAAAATAGTGAAAATCAAGTTGGCTCCCCGATTACTTGTTCGGTCATTTTTCTCCAACTTTTTCTCCGTGTATGGTGATCAATCTAGGATTACCCCTAGAATGGTACAGGGATCCTTCATGAATATTTCTCCTTATGAATCAGCTGAAGTTAGTTTTAAAGCGGTTCATTCCGACAAAACTTTTTTTTCAAATTACTGAACCGTGACGAAAATTTAATTCCAGGTTTATTTCATCCTGATCGCCATGTCGACGGGCACTGTCCTACAGGAGGAGGAGGAGTATCTGTATGGGAATCGCTCAATGCCCAAGTCACCAAGTTTCCTGGAGCATGAATCCGTATCACCAGGTAAACCGATCTTCCTAATCCCCAGCTCTCTAACGCAACTCAAATGAAAGGCATTAATAATATACCAACACTGTTTGTTTTCCCCCGCAGTCACAGTGAGATTCAACATCACACTGCTAATATGCTCATGCTGTGGAGTTGTCGCCTGTTTACTTCTCCTTTACGGATTACTGAAGGTATACACAGATATGGATTAATTTTCTAAGGTGAAAAGTCTGTGAAGCAATTTAATACATCGTACAAACGTCCACCCATCCCTCACGACATTGTCATTGGGAACAGCGGTGAGAACATAATAAACAGAGAAAGAAAATTCCAGAGTATGAGGGAAAATTCTCTCAAGCGTTCTGATTTGAACCAGTCCAATGCAATTTTCCTGGAGGAACTTGGGGACATAAGCTCTAGGACTTTGACTTGTCTCTCTTCCCTTCATATCCGCGACGGTCAGTTAGTCCATCGCAAATGAATGAAACGTGTTTCGCCTAGAGCTAGAGAAAAATATTCTCTGCAATTCTCCCTCCATCTCAATCCGACAGTGGGTTCATAGGATCAGACTCTGCGTCGCACTGTCGCTGCTGGATAATAGAGAGACTCTGAGTAGGGCGTTCTTCTTTATTTATCCATCGAGGTGACACATATTTCTTTTTTTCATAGCTCTCAAAGTTGTTACGTGATTTCTAAATAGACTGCAGGAAAAAAGGAGGAAAAATGCTTCTGAATGCAGAAGACGAGGACACTTAGTCGCAACGAGAGGAGGACGGTTTATGTGAAAGATAAACTCTCTTTGTGCCATTTTCTGATACTGTAAATTTTTCAGTAAAACTCCTCTCTGCCAACTTCACAGCCCTCCGGTGTTTCTGAGACTTGTTATCACCTACCGTACACTTATATCTTAACGTATACAATCCTGGAGTCTTTGAAAATAAAATGTATATGGTACTAGTGGCGCTAGGTTTCTACCTATTCCTATCCACGATATGTTCAGTCCCAAAACAGGTGACATTATTTTATAGAATTGAGATTCCAGCATTTGACCCGAATGAGAAGGAAATTGAATTTTACATTATTATACCCCATTGCGAAGTTAATACGTTTAAACTCGGATGGGAATTATATTCGTGATGCTATGGAATCCCCTTGGCGACGCGCACCTGTTTTTTCCACACCCACTGCAATGCCAGGCCACCCATAAAAGATAGAGTAAAATCCCAGAGTCATTTAACGTTAATACAACATTCACGTATAATAGAGAAAATGCAAAAGTACTTTATGGCAAATGGGAATGGTAGTTTTCGCGCTTGATATTATCAACATTTTCTATAATTCGAGGTATCTCGCAACTGGGATTTTCCAGAGCTCGCCTTGGAGGCTTATACTCAATGGTGCAATTAACACCACTGACATTCGCGTAATTGACCAACTGCATTTACTAGGTTTCCACATTATTTCCGAATGACCTAGAAACAGTGAACGAAATATAATTGGGAATTGAATGCATTTTATTTTGTAATGATTTCAGAATCATCGATTCTTGATGTTACCCTGGATCTGCTCTGTCATCACCTGCAGCATTGTGGATATTAGTCATACACTCTATTTGTTCTGTTCAGCATCAGTAAGTCTTCATTTGTGCAAGTCATCCTAACACGCGTTATTAATATTGCATTACGAAAATTGTGTGTTCAATGCTTATGTAAATAGTTGGGCAATCATCAATTGTCACTCGGAGATTGATGATTAACAAACTCTGGAGATTTTTTTCCACCATTATTTGAGATCGCTTCGATTCAATTATGATTCCATTTGATCAACATTGCAGGGTCATATACATAGACATATACCTGTTTTCAGGTTTTCGCGGGCATGATTATTAGTATTATCATTGACTTCCGGATGGATGCCGCAGGTTCGTGAAACCGATTCATGAAAACCATATATCTCGGTCCATCCTCTGATTAATTTCAATATTTTAATAAGTGATGCAATAATTCTGACTTTCTGGTCTCACTCACGGTAAATATACTTGAATATACTTGAATTCAAGTATATTATTCTTAATTCAGGTGCTAATTTTCATAATATTACTAAAAATAATGATTGATTGCCGATCTATGGCCACTTTTTTTATTTTTATATTCGTATCCTAATATTCTGACCCTCAATTCTTAGCTTAACTTTTAGACCCTTATATTAAACTTAAGAGGGCTTGCTACAACCCGGCCTGATACAAAACAATCATCTTCGAATTGAAATACCCATCCCCCAATTGAGTATAAAATATACTTGCATCAAATGTTTTATTTTTATTTTTTATTTTTTTTCTATTTCATTGGTTTTATCGAAGTAATTCTCGATTTGAAACGCCTCCTCCAGCCTGCCTCCCCTCCATTCTTTTCCTCTCATTGTTATCTGCGGTATCATAGCCGTCTTACTCTTAGCTGTGCCCCATTCGAGCTAGGACTGCACGGGAAACCATGTAAAACCCCAGTCGGACAGCCGGCCGATTGTGCAGTGCCCTAATATATCCATCTGTCACACTGACTAGATGGCGACACTAGGCCGCTACTACGTACCTACCGCCCGCAATTTTTGTGCGAGCGAGGTGTTCCTAAGCGGTCATCCATCCAAGTACTGGCCCAGATCAACGCTGCTTAGCTTGGATGTCCGCCGGAGTAACACCTCACCCACCTAACCATTACAGTCGGTTTGCATCAAATGTATTATATACTCGAATCAAGGATAATATACTTGAATCAAGTATATTTTAGACTCGAATATTTTTTCTCATTTCTATTTCCTTACTTCTTCTTATTCCATGCTGAATAAGATTTTAATTGTAATTATACTCGAAATTCTATTTCCAGTGGAAAATTATAGCTATATGAGATTTCTCACAGACCAGAATTTTCTAGTTCTTTGCCTTTCCCTTAATTCCCCTTGCCGTCTTACGACGGCATTCAATTAGTTTCCTGGGCAAATTATACAACGAACTATAAAGCTCTTCCGCTAATTCGAGGGAGCTTTTCCTCATTCATAATCGTTTTCACAATTTTCTCATTAATTGAAGCTCGGATAAATCATTTGACATTTTTTCAAACTTTCCGTAAACTCCAGAAATTCCTGTCATTCTTTTTCCAACTTGAGAATTTGGAGAAAATCTGAAGGATTTCTCGAATTTTCAGCTGTAATATTCCAAGACCTGCAAAATGCTCCGGTATTCCCCGATAGTTTTGTTGCATAGCGACGAGAGGGATCAGTTCTGTCCATTAAAATCCCGAGTGCGCCGCACGAGGGGTTTTATTGCAAAACTTATCCTGATCGTTTTGTAACGACGACCGTGAAACAATGCTTCAGTGGACCGAGTATCGGAAGGAAATCATAAGCAATCTTGATATTGCAAACGTTCATATGCCTTCTGCGAAAATCAACAAATTCTGCGTGGTTCACGGAAGTACTGTAACTGATCACCAATGAATTGCAGGAAAAAGAAGGGATTTCTCAATGTGATTAATGCTTGCGATGTCCTATATAGCAGTTCTATCCAGTTTGAGTACGACACGAGATCATTCAAATAACAAAGCAAAACACACACTCATTCATCTTAGGAAGGGGGAAGAGCAGCGGCAAATCGAACAGTTCATTCCGTTACCATATATTAGATTCCGAAAAATAGTGGGAATCGAGTTTTAATGATAAAAAATAACTTTTTTCAAGAAAAATTATGTTCGTCATTCGGCCAAAAGAAACTTTTCTGACGAGTGTGAAGGTTGCAGACCGAGGCGAAGCTGAGGAATGTAATCACACGAGTCAGAAAAGTTGTTTTTGACCGAGTGACGAACATAATTTTTCTTCACAATGTCCGTAAATGGCGCTTAACGGACACGCAGTCCGACGACGACTCTTACAACGTTTTACGAAAAAATAATGTGGCTTTGGTTCAAGGATATTCAAGTACGTCGTTCAAGTTTGCAACATTTTTGACGTGCATATGTCTATAGTTTCAATTTCTTCCAGTTTAATAAAGATTGGGCTGTATCGTGATGAACACTTTAAATTATGCTGTAACGTCGATATTAATTAATATCAAAATTGATCGATGCGTCCTTTCATTATGCACTTGAAAGCCGAACAAAATTCCATGAACAATCGATCTTTATTAACGATCGAATAACCATTACTAATACATTTTCCGCTCTGTACCCTGAGCACTTGCAGGAGAAATTTTGACTCAAACGTTATACCCACATATTTTTGGGGGCTGGAATTTGAGGGAAAATCTCGATGAATTTTCAAGCGCGAGGGCTTTTCGTTGAATTATAACTGAATTGCGAGATTTCACAATTTTCGGGGGATGGCAAACATATTTTATCACCGTTTCATTGTATCACAATAGCTGTGGCGAAAACTTGACCATTGGATCGGTGGTGGGGCCCTCTTTCTTAACGTTCACCAGATTGACAATTATTTGTGTAATCGAAAATCCCCCTTCAAGAAATTTGAATTATTTACTTAATAGTAAATTTACAGTTTCAGATTAACAAATTTTAAATACATCATTATTCGTAAAAAATCAGATTATTAATATTATATTATTTGAAAAATTGAATCAACATATTTTAAACCTTCATTAATGTAAGGGTCAAATTCTCGTAATATTACAGAAATTTAATATTGATGGGGACCCCTGCTTACAACAGGAAAATTCTCGTTCTTGAATTAATGATATTTCTGTCTCTAACGTTGATCTACTCCTGTTTCATTCCTGAATGGTATTTAATTATTTAGAATAATTTCATTATGTATTAAGGACATTTTACGTCACATAGGGAGCTCTACTATATAACATAGTAAGCGTTACTGTGTTAACATGGTAAAGCTTGCTATGCCCCCTAGTAACCATTACGATGTTCGATGGTAACCATTACCGTGTCCATAGTAATACTTATAAAACTTTGGTAACGTTTACTATGCGCGGATTCCGACATGGTAGTCTTTACTATTTTATTTTTTCCGTTGATGAAGTTTACAACAATTCTCATCTGTCAAGACTTTGGCTGTTTATTATCACCTCATTCATTACTCAACTCCAGAATTAATATACTCTATATATCCACACCGAAAAACATAGAAACACATTTGGTGAGATTACCGCGCTAATACCAAGATTTATTTCTCTTTGATAACTCCTTGCATCGCCCGACTGCAGCTGTCAGACGGAGTGTCAATACGAATCTATCACCATTTCATCTCTTAAGCCTGATCGATTAAAAACTCGTACACAACGCGCGAGTGCTTATTTTGACCGATGAGAAATATATCGAAGATGTAAGAGCACTCTTTTGCGTCGGGCGCTCTCTACAGAGTTGATTTAATTCAGTTCATGGACGTTACGACTCGACTTTTATCATGAAGAAGAAAGGTAGAATATTTTTCTGTCCCACGTGGCCCAGGCTAATACGAACAAGTTATTTTTATGATTACTATTGCGAGTCGTTATCATTTACCTCTCTTATCTCTGGGAATAAAGTTATTTTAAAATAGCAGACAACTGGTGCGAGAGCACCTGGAGGTAGTCAGCTCATAATTTTAATGATGTTTTCTTTTTTAAGTAATAAAGACTAGTACGTCACGAATTAATATTTATCCTCCAGAATTATGCCCTCCGCATATTTTCTCTATTTCACAAGAGAACGAAGCACAAGTTAAATGGAAGGAGGATCAGCGTGAGAAATCTTCTGTCAGTGCTATCAACTGTAGGGGTGGGCTTGTAGAAATCGTTTATCAATTCTTGACACATTTTCCCTCTTTTTACGAGAACGGGAAGAAAAAAAAACATTGTCCAATGCATCTATCACTTCTATCTGAAGTGAAATTCACCGAGCCCATATTGGAGGTAAACTTTGAAAAATGTTGAGATTATAATTCATACCCGAATAAAGCCCTGGATTCTCACGATGAATTTGAACACAGGGGGAGCTATTGGATTCTGTCGAACGGATAGAAAACACTCTATATACTCTAGCTTTTTTTTTCAGTCTAAATTCTTTGCCTTTGTTTTCACGGTGCAGTGGGCACTCATGCTGCCCTACGCGCATGTGGTCGCCGGGTCATTTTTCAAGCACTACTCGAACACTTTTCTAACAAAAACCAAACAACGATCAATATGATATGTTTCCTATATTGTGTTACAGCTCGGCTTCAGTCCCATCAGCGCGCTGGTCTACACTCTTGATTTTTTTCTACTTTGTCTCAATGTGAGTAATGCCTTTGATATTGTTATTAGGGGAGGGTAGGGCAAAACAGACCGCAGGGCAAACGGACCACTGACAGAAAATTGGTAATTTTGTTTTTTTTTCTTTCCTTCAAATCAGGAACACTAAATGTGTTGAATTAAAAGTGAATTTCTTGAATCGTAACCGTCACAGGGGTTTTATAGACAACAAGTGTCGTTGAACCGCAATTTGATCAGATTTGCTAATCACCTCGAACCACAAATGACTTTGAATTTGCTCCATTCGAAAGCAAAAACAAACATTATCAATTTTCTGTCAGTGGTCCGTTTTACCCTAGACAACAAGGTTTTATAGACAACAAGTGTCGTTGAACCGCAATTTGATCAAACTTGCTAATCACCTCAAACCACAAATGACTTCGAATTTCCTCCGTTCAAATGCAAAAACAAAAATTATAAATTTTCTGTCAGTGGTCCGTTTTGCCCTACCCTTCCCTACCATCATTCTCTTTATGGAACCAGCAGTTCCTGAATACATTTTTTCGTTTCAATATTCTTGCAGACCTTATTATTAAATTTGAATGATGAAAATTTACGATTGCGCCACAGCTCCTTCACCATTTTCTTTTCACATAATTTTTTTTGCTACAGATTTATTCGCTTTTGTGCGTTATCTCGCAGTACCAAGAATACACAGCTGGCAGAGGTAGAGCGTCAGACGACTGTGAACACAGGGTGAGTGTCTCTCCTCCTTCTTGAACGAAGAGTAAATAAAAATATCCACGAGCGCGAATTTTTTTATCTCCCTGTTGCCTCCGTTACCCAAAAACCCTGGTGAGCCCTACTCGAACACTCGTCGCGCAGCATATACCCGCCAGTTACTTCCAGGCGTTGGAGCCTCTTGAGCCTGTCGCTGACCCGTTAAATCCCTTCTCTCTATCCTGACTGTAGGGAACACACACACATGTTCTCTATTTTTTCGCCCACTTTGTCCGTTAAATTATCCTGCTTTATACTCTCTCAAGCCTTCAGTCTTTCCTTCAAAAAGGAATAATGGGGATAAGAAACGACGGTGGAGGGAAAAAAAAGAGGGAGAAAGTGTCTAGAACTGTCCTTGATACTGGGATTCGAGCTTTCTTACAGCGTAATTGCGCACGAAGTGAGATCAAGTGGGAACAAATTGAAACACTCGGGAATAATTGAAGTAGCACAGACAGACCTTGAAGTTTTTTCATTAAACCGATTAATTCCGAATCTGGAAAAGCTTGTGTTCCTTCATATTTTCTCCATCTATCGTTCCCAGATCGAAATGACGTGATTGACAAACGCAGCACACGTCAATCACACTTCATATTGCCATCGAAAAGTCAACAGATGAAAAAACGAAAACAAATGTTACGTTCTCTTGATAAATCTACCATCCAAAGTTGAAATGTCTAAAAATATCCAATGCCAATGAAATTGCGTAAATTGATCTGCTTGCTAGGATAGAAAAATTGACATCTGAAATAATTGCTGTTCACCGTCAATAACAGCAAGGGTGGAGGTACCAGGGCACTTGGTCTGACCCCAACAGCACGTAATCTCCTTGCCCTAGTCATTGAGCGTAGTAAACAGCATTGTAACATGAGGGCGTGTATGAGATACTCCAACTAGCTCATAAATTATTTGTTGAGAAGCTTGTTGTGAGAAGATATTGCCATCGCAAGGCACTGTGTTTACACTGTTCAAAAAATTTGGTTCAATTTTCTGGAAAAAAGCATTGGATTCGATTTAAGGGGAAAAAGTCAATACAATTTCAAGTTTCTCTGAAATTTCAAGTCAAGTTCCAATTTTTAGTGGCTGAAGGACGAAAATTCCACAAATGGCATGAATTGTTAAGTGAAAATTTTCATGGCCCAATTCCTTTGAATTTTCAGAAAATTTCTTCAAAATTCTTGGAATTCCAGGAATTTTTGAAAATTCAGAGGAGTTTGGAAGTTAAAGAGAGATTCCTCTGACTTTCCGTGATTTTTCATTAATTTTCTCGGAATAATTAAACTGAAATTGACCGTTCACATGGACTTTTCCATGAAATTATCAGTTTTCAATTACAAAATTTCTCGGAATTTCAGTAGATAAGTTACGTGTTAGAAATTTCCAACGCCCTTCCCGGAAATTTCAGTGAAAAATTTTTTCTTGAATTTTCAAGACACTGACACTCAGTACGATTCAACAGGAAACAATCATGAAATTTCAAATTTCACTGAAAATTGAATTCAATGTTCAGTGGCAATGTAATTTGGCACTGAATATTCATATTAGATTGGAAATCCAAATAAATTCAGAGGCGAAATGGTAAAACGGTTCAAGTCCACTCATCTCCCAGTTGAGTTTTTGAGGAATATTTCCGAATCTATGGGAGAGCAAAATTTTCGTAATTACATTTATTGTAGCACTCAATCGGCTCTACAAAAAAGGTTATAAACAAAATTTTGCTTTCTCCCTTAGATATTCCGAGATATTCATTGAAAGCAGATCAATATTCAAAATTGATTTGTACCGTTTTACCACTTCGCTACTGAATTAAGGAATTCACATCTTTATGCTGCTTGAAGGTCTGAAATTTTACTGAGTTTTCAGTCAAACCTGAAATTTCATGATTTTGTTCCTCCTAAATCGCATTTAGTGTAACGGTTCTGAAAATTAGTAATCAACTGTCCATGAAAATTCAGACGGAAATTTTTAACAGTGATATATTCATGATGTAATGGAGAACGATAATAATAAATGAGATTATTCTAATGAGCTCAAATATTCTAAGATTTAAGCCATTGACAATAATTTTCTTCTTTCAAGTAAATATGGTCTACATATTATGAAATTTTTCTCTCAGTGTATTTTGTTTGCGGTCCATTGTGGGCTGGTTTGTTCATCTGTGCGATAAAAACAAATACCAACGAAATAAATTGCTTAATGAACGAACCTTCATTAACCTTAATAAAAAAATAAATCCTCAGAGAATACATTCTTCACTCCCAGTTATTTCCCATCATTTCGGCACTCAGGCTAGTGCACATCATTATTTGGCGAATTCGGGTATGATATAAAACGAAATTGCGAGGTGAGAATGATTGGGAGAGGGAGATAGGAGCAACAAGTGATAACCTTCATAATAATACGGACAAAAGCTCGCGAAGGGCTTCCCATTCGGTCAAATCAGTTCGTTTCTTATTTCACAACTACATTGAGTGAAAATCAATTGCTTTCTGTAAAAAAATCTGGGGAAATTTTCTTGTCCTTTCAATGACACCACTTACCATCTTCCATGTACGGTACAGAGTAGCCTATGTAACGATTATGTAGAGGGAGTAATTGATTCAAGAGATAACGAACCCACTTACTCCATTAGAACATTAGGCATCAGTGTACTACCTGATTTAAATGTAATATCTACCGTCCATATAGAGCACATGGAACCCTTTATCAAGGGAAATTTACTTTATTTTCATTTTTCTGTGTTTGGCTTTGTGGGGTTCATACTAGCGGCATCCGGGGCGCGAGCCCTGGGGAGCGCTAAGTGCTGGTAGGGCTCGATATAAATGCTTTATCATGCACTCTTGTATGTAATTGTTTGTTGTTAACTTTTCAATTTATTTATTGATTAATTCATTCTAAGTTCAACTGTTCGAGGCGAATTTTTTTCCACTGATACTTGCACCTGTTTTGAATAAAAACGTTCGTTGGCACATCTTTGATAAAATTGATATTTATCGAGTTATAATTTTTCTAAAAGTAATTCTTAAAGTAAAAATTTCGATTCCGCAAAATTTAGAATTTTTTAATGACATTGTAGGGCATTCTTGGAACACTTCGCGGAAAAAAATATCCTCGAATCGGGTATTATATATAATATTCAGAAATCAGGAATATCTGTATTCAGGAATTCGAAATATTTAATTCTCGATTCCAGAATAATATTCCGGAATCCGGAATATTTTACCCTCAATTCCTGAATAATATTCCGGAATCTGGAATATTTTACCCTCAGTTCCGGAATAATATCCCGGGGACTTCCGGGGATTTCCATTGAAATACGTTGCGTCTACAAGAGACGGCATGTACTAACGACGCGCCGTCCGAATTTGATTAAGTTCGGGCAATAATCACGTGGTTTCGGGGCAGCGCTGATCTCGAGGGAGGAGGGGAGCTGGATCGACGCTTCAACATTTTGTCTTGAATTGCACTGTGGGACTGCGTGTCAGCGTATTATTCCGGAAGCGAGAATAAAATATCTCGAATTGCGGCATGTAATATTTCTAATTCCGTTATATTATTCCGGATTCCGGAATATCATATATCCGATTCGAGGATATTTTTTTTCGTGAATTCTACGTCATATTTAATTTTCATCGAAATCTGAAAAAAGTCAATTGAAATAGTATGGAACGTCCGTATTTAAGTTCCAATACCTCAATATTATTGAATTCTTTAAAATTCATATTACCCCTAGAGGCAGAATGTCGGAAGCGAAGACCTGCACACACGGAGAGAAATATTCAGTAAAAATTACGGAACAATTCAGGTAATCCGCTATGGGAAATCGTTTTCCGGCAATTTTTATAGGAATGGAAGAGAAGAAATCTGAAACTGCCAGTGACTTCTCAGGTTCATCACCGAACAAAGTACGAAATTGTCACGTAATTTTTCCCGAAGAAGTAAAATCTTACAGAAACTTCCCGACTTATTATGCCTCCAAAATCAAAACTTCTTGAACGTTCAACAATTTGTATGAACCTGGTGAGATATTTCTACGTTCCGTTCCGTAAAATTTCTCAATCGTTGGGGAAAAATTACGGAACGACTTGTTGTCTCCACGGCGGTAAGTGATCAGACGGGTGGTTAATTTTTACGGAAAAAATCGTAGAATTTACGTGACGATACGTACACTTTCAGTTCCGACTCAGATTTTTATTGAATTTTACTTCGCTCGCGGATTACGTTTCGAAACGTAATTTTCACGTTTTTTCTGGCAATTTTTATCGAATTTTTCTCTCCGTGCACCTCCTTGGGCAACTATAATATTATATGAGTTGTCTCAAACAGATTTGAATACATTAATATTAACCAGGTCTCGGTAATATATTAATTTTCAAGGGATAGTTCCAATATTTAAAATTCGCAAAAAATGCGCATCAATGTGCAGTAGCTGAAATTTTTTCTTTGACAAAACCAATATATATAAGTGGAAACATCATTCAAGATCTCACACAGCCACGAGGGGGTCGTTATCTCTTGAGTAAATGTTTCTCAATGCAAGAAAAAATAAAAATCTCTCTGTTATTGGCTCCTCCGATAATTTCGCCGACCTACTTCTTCCTTGATTATCTCCCCGTACTCCTCAGAGTGATAGATGAAGACTGATCCTTAGAAATCGTTCACCCACTGTATACACCCCAAGAACTGATCCATTGCCTACTATCGATTTCAATGGATTAAATTGATTTCAAGCATTATCATCCATCCCGATTACAACCGACGCACTTAATTACCCTCACTGCAATTAACAAATTGGTATGGAGTAGTATTTAATCAGTATATGGACGATGTTCGATCATCAGATACCAGCTATTCGATACGCAGTTCAGCCCACTACAACAGCTACTTCGTGTCTGAGTTCTCGTCGTACACCAACAAACAATGACTCTAAACTCACCACTTCAACCACTCCCGCGCAGAGCCCCACGACATACAGGACTATTTTATCGTCGGAGAAAAGTACGGGGAACAAAATAGCCCGGAAACATGTACAGTTTCCCGACACCCCGACATCCAGTAGTCAAGCACCCAAATCAGGTAGTATTTTATTTTCTCATGCACTGTTGGAAAAGTAACTCTTGAAATTTTAAGTGAAAAAGCTTGAAATTTTTAATAACGACAAAGTCACATGAAATTTCTGTACATTTATTCATTGATGAACCTGTTCATTTCTTGAATATTCAAGTAATTGTCGATTTTCAGGGCCACCCGGCACTGAAAAACCTTGAAAATTTTGAAAATTCAGGCAACAAGTTTTCTGAATTCTCAGTCTATTGAAACCTGAATTGTATGTACTGTTCAATTTTCACGATGAATTTGGAAATTCAAGCTTTCATTTACTGTTAGAAATTTTTTGAAATTTCATGGAAGGTATGATAGTTAATCTCATGAGAGTGACATTGAATCGGATTTAGGGGAAAAATGATTATGAAATTTCAAGTTTTAGGTAGAATTCAAGGAAATTCATGATTCTTCAGTGAGAGTGTGACAGAAATTCCACAACTTGATGGAATTTTCAATGGAACATGAATATACAAAAACAAAATGAAATCAATTTTCAATTTTTCTCAGAATTTTCCTGATTTTTCAGAATTTTTAGGGAATAATTGAACTGAAAAATCAAGTATTTTATTGATTTTCAGATCATTCAAACAGAAAATCAATGGAATATTTTATTTTTCAATGACAAGATTTTCAGAAATTTCCGTTGAAATTAAACACAATAAAAGATTTCGGGATTGGGCACGGAAAAATCAGACGAAAATTTTTAACACTGTTGAAAAGTCAATGATTGTTCAACATGAAAAATCAAATTAAACACAAATTTTCCAATTTACCAATTTTCTTGAATTTTCAAGAGGAATGAGAAATTTAGTGAACCCTTTCATTTGAAATTGAATTCAACTTCACAACATCGAAAATTCAGATGCCGCTGTGACTGAAATTTCAAGAGATTTCTAAAAGTGTGATAGCCTTCAGCAGAACACATCGGAACAGAACAGTCTCATAAATAGATTCTTTTTCGCAGATAACAGTGGAGAAACTATCGGCTGGACATCGGACAATGAGAGCCCGGCTGCTCCTTCGCTACTCATGCCACCTAGCAACAATTTCCATCAGGCCAATGGCCAATCCTAAAAAACTTATCCAATATGTATCTTTATTTTCAATTGAAAAAAAAATTAAAGGGATAAGATAGAGAAAAGTACAAATACTAATATTTACTTCTTGCGATTGATATCGTAATGGAATAATCCAGAAATACTGACAGATGGATTCCACGTGACTTTATAGTAAGTATTTAATTCTCGAATGATGATTTTATTTTGTCTATTTGATGTGGGATATTTTATCTGCACTGGTGATATCCCTGACTAAAGTATCTTGATCAGGAGATGTCACAGTCTGATGCTCGATTTCATCAGAAATTCAAGTATCAGACTTGATTTGCATTGTAAATTTTCTAGCAAGTTCGCGAGACGTATTATCTTTGCTTCTTTATTTATTTAGTTGCGGCTGAACGTCAATCAGAGATTATCGAACCGAAATATACTTGATGCATTTATATTTCGTAAGGAATTCGGAAATAAAACTCATATCAACCGAAAATATCATAAGAATGATGATAGTAATCATCGTGATGGCAGTATCATGAAATTTAACTTGAATGAATACAAAAGTATTACACTGTCAGAAATTTTTGGGAATTTCAGTCACAGCGTCATCTGAATATTCGATGCACAATTCGTTCACCAATTACGGAATCGACTCAGAAAATTTACGTGACGGTATCCTAATTTTTCATAGGAGATTCAGATAAAAATTACGTAACGCTCTGGAAAAATTCCGTGACAGTTCCGTAAAATTTGATACAACTACATTTCGCTCCGGAATTATGGAAAAGATACGTAATTTTTATTGAAGTTTTCTCTCCGTGTGTAATGAGGTTGAATGCAATTTCAAATGAAAGCGGTCACTAAATTTCTAATTTATCTTGAAAATTCAATCCAATTCGTTTTTTCATGTCAAACAATCATTGATTTTTCAATGGAAGCTTAAATTTCCAAACTCACCGTGAAAAATTGAACATCAGATACAATTCAATTTTCAATAGATTGAGAATTAAGAAAAGTTGTTTGAATTTTAAAATTTCGTTGTTAAAAATTTCAAGCTTTTTCACTCGAAATTTCAAGAGTAATTTTCTAATAGTGTGTAAATGAAACGCTCGGTATTCAACCAAGAACAAAAAAAAAAATCCCGTCCTTATTATGTTGATTTTTTATTGAAATTTGTTGCAAGTTCCTGTAAGAACTGGCAACTGGCCATCGCCCGAGAGCCTTCCGCCAAGTACTTACATTTTATATCCATAACAGGTGATAATAGCATAAAAAAGTTATTTTGAGTCGATTTTACCGAGTGAAAATATAAAAAATCAACCCCATCGATTTTTTAAAATCGATATTTTCTTTTAATGCTGCTGAATCGAAACTTCCGAGACCTCGAAATCGAAAATAGGAAGCCAGATTACCTCTTACAATTTCCAAATTGAAATGCAATCCCCGAATGAATGACACACGAATTTCCCTTTCAGAGCAATTGGAACGTGGTTAACCGTTGACACATTGGCCAAGCCTCACTCGACGTCGATCCACCTTCATTACGTGGAAATATACGTCTCCATAATGTCACGTTTTGGAATGACACGAGTGGATGAATTCACCGAATGATTCATTTTATTTATGTTCATGAGAGGAATTCAATTTCACTGAGAATCGATACATTGATATCCACGAAGTAAAAAATCAAATAATATTGTCCCATTGCAGCTCTTTCCATCCACACTGTCGACAGGGAAAAACGCCAAACACGCAATTCTTTAGTCTCCTGGGAAATTTATTTGGTCCGTCATGAATAAGAACGGAGAATACCTGAATATTGAAATATTCATTATGTCGACTTCAATGAACTGTTGGAGGATAATTACTGGGACTAATCTGTCTTCAGTTCTATAACTCCATACCGACGTGCATCAATGAGAAGCCAGCCTCGCTGCATCCATAATTAATGATCGTAATCAACCGGAAAATTAGTGTGTATTGGATAATGCAAGTGCTTACATTACAGTTCCCATAATGATCCATTTTATTGCACCCTGCTAATGAGATGTAACAGTGTAAATTTGTGTGATTTTCAGTGAGAGTGATTTTTGGATTCAGTTACACCGTTGGAGATAATTGTTGAGAATAAATTATATGAATTATAAATACAGTTCTTCAATTTTTGAATGGAGTTCACTGGTATTTCATTGTTCGCTGCACGATATTTTATACGTTGATGTTCTCGAGAGAATAAATATACGTTGAGTTTCATTCGCAGCAATATGAATGATTTGGAGCACCATGGAAGACTTCGGGTAAATATCCTACTGAATCAATAGTCAGTTACGTACGCAAAGCTTTTGTTGACGGGGAGATTAATCGCTCGTGGAGGGCCAGTTGAGACCTCAATAACTGTATCCAACTCGAGTAATCGATTGCTATCCACAAAATACACGCGTGCATACTGTTTTCCCAGAGCTAATCTCATTGATCGCTCAATAATTGCAACAATATTCATGTAAATAGTATTTGATACATAGAGCCATTGCAGATGAGGAGACAATGACAGAGGAATTATTGACACAACAAAGTTTGCAGGGTAATCGATTATGCGCATCGAAGAAGAGACTGTATGCGCCTGAAAAATATCTAAATTTGGAAATTAAAGGAATTTAACAGGAATTATAGAAATCTGCAGAAAATCTGATTAGATGAATCCTGTAAAATATGGTTGGTTGTTTAAAATGTTGATGAGGGGTTGAAATGTTGATAAAATTTTATATTTTCGCTTTTCAATACAAAGAACAATTCTTTCCCTTTGTGGCGAGCCTAAGCTGAGCTCAATTGATAAATTTGTTTCTGAGTTATGAATAATTTAAAAAAAGTTTAAAGTGTACATTTTACCCACCCTCCCCTAAGTTGAATAAATCGACTAGTGTAGTTCATTTTAATAGAGGATTTATTTAATTTGAATAAAGTTTATTTAACACTCCGATGGTCGCGCAAAAGTTACGAACGCCGGTCGTGCACGAAAAGTTAGTCGCGCCAAAAACGCCGCGCCGCGCCAGCATAAATCGACATAATGATAAATTTGAAAAATCCAGGAAAAATCTAAAATAATCAAGAGTGATCTAGATCGTATACTTGAGAGAGTCCCGTGAGATTTTTTATGTTCAGTGTTATCCTTAATTATATATTCAAGCTCAAAGTGGCCATATTTTTATGAAAATTCGCCTTATGCACGGTACACGGCCCGGAGTTTCGGAATAAAAATTTAAAAATCTAAATACTTATGATATTTTTGGCAGATATTTTCATTGATAGAGCTTCTAGACACTTCAAAATCAGATGCAATCATTTTATCAAATTTTTCTGAGGCGCAGTGTTTCCTGTTGCTGCAGTGTGATTAAAAAATCGGAAAAAGTGCAGCGCGGCGCTCATTAGCGCGAAATTTATCTATTTTTTTGGTTATTAAGAGAAATTTCAATAAAAATTTACCCCCAAACTTTGATAATTGCCTCGGGTACTTACCTTCCATGGAATTTTCATAAAAACTAGTGATGTTTTAAAAATTATAAGTTTTACTGGAATTATTGTGGTTTGGTCTAGAGTTTGGGTAAGAGTCCCGAAAAGGCCAACACATTGTACAATTATTAGTCGTCGGGGGTAATTTACAGGAGAAATGTTACGTAATTCGAGTAACAATTGGATATAAATATTCAATATTGTGGATTTTAATTTAATCCAAAATTATCTTGCTCTTCAGATTACTTATTTCTCTTGGGAATCCAACAGCATTGATTTTTTTCATGTTAATATTCATATGCTGACATTTCAACGATCGTTTAAATTTTCAAATTAATAGAAAAGTCGGTGAGATTTGAAAATCTTCGGTAGAACTAGGGACCAATTGATGACATGTTAAAAGATGTACACATACATCAACAAAAGATGACGCTTTCCATATTTCTCCTCTTAAAATCGTTCCTGCAGTTTTCATCCCATTAACATAATTTTTTTACATGCTCGTTAGACTCTAATGAACAAAGCTAAGCATTCGCTTTACGATCCGTAAAATAGATTATGAAAAAATTTAAAAAAAAACGAACTTCAAATCCTTGAAACAAAACAAAACTTTTTTTCTGTTTTTTCATGATCTTTTTCATGGATCGTAAAACGGATGCTTAACTTTGTGCTTTGGAGTTTAACGATTGCGCTAACCTACGGGATAAAATCGATTGGGGTCATTGTTTTTAGTACTTTTTAACACACCCTATCATCATATATATTAAGAGTCGCTCAATTGGTCCTCACTCTACCGAAGACTCTCAAATCTCACCAACGTCCCCCCTCAACTGAGAAAGTTGAACTTTACTTTCATCTAAATTTCATATAAATTCAGCGTCTAAAAAAATATTCGCCTGAATTTTTCTAGTTCTCACCAGTTTCAATTTTTGTATGAATTTGACGATTGAAACTTCATTGAATGTTTAACAAATACACTGGCAGCCCATAACAAGATATATGGAAATTCCGTTTGAATTGGTCATTGTCAAATATTCCAAGACTTTTAAATTTTAAATTTCAACTGAAATTTTCTCATAATTCCGAAAGAATGCTCCGAGGGAAAGTATTCACTCTCTTTACTACTACGCTAACACAGTAATTTTTTTCTGTACCTTTTTCTCCGGATAGATATACGTTTTGGTCATTACTTCGCTGATGAGCATCCCAGACCTATGGTATGAAAATTCTTGCACTCCCCCAACATAATATTGCCAGGGAATATTGCACCATTGTACACCCTGGGGTATAGCGTATACAACACCTGTTGTTCTTCCAGAGAGGAAGCGAGTTATTTACGATCATTGGACGTTATGAATGTTGAGATTGATGTTCCCCGCAACCGTAATGGAGAATTCATTCGAGGGGAGAACCATTCCACCGATAAGGTTGCAGAAAATAATGATAATAGTTCCGTTAAAAATGAGAGAATCGCGAATTTGAGATGAAATTTTTTCATCATATTTCATAAACTGGCGAACGGGCGCTTCGTGCCCGTCCCTAGATTAATTTGTGCTTTTTCATTTTATTTTATTTCCTTTTCCGTCTTCACATTTAGATTCATTTAATTTTATTCTTATTTTTATCTTTACTATATATATTTTTTCCTTAATTCACAAGTTACAATATTGTATGAAGAGCAATTATGTTGAAGATCAATAAAAAGTGTTTTCTTGTGATCAGAACAAACACAGAAAACAGAAGTCATTCGAAATTTCATTAAATATCTCTTCATGTATTCCCGAAAATTTTTAACATCTATTTTTCCCTTCATATGTTAAAAGGATATCGGTACTCCTCATTCCTGCGATTGGATTCCAATTATTATTATGAAAAGGAAATGAAAAAACAATCAGAAAGGGATAATCCGCCGGAAAATGGATTTTTTTCTTCTTTTATGTCGGTGGGAACTTCGAATCCCTTTTTTTCTTTAAGTATTAGAGGGATATCAATATTTCAGCCAGAAAAGATTCCAAAAATGTAAAAAAATGGGCGGGAAGAACTAAAAAAATTAATTTTTCAATATCACCGAAAAGCTTTAAATTCAATTTTTTTCCAATAATGAAAGAATATCAATAAATCCGATTTCTATCCTTGTCTTTTGATAAAATAAATAGAATTACCTAAATGGCAATGAATTTGAAAAAATCACAAATTGAAGACGGAAAATTTTTTAAAAGGGATGATCGACCAGAAAATGGAGAAAATTCGTTTTTCTTCATTTGTGTTGGTGAAAACTTGGAATCACTGTTTTTTCGTCGAATATGGGCGGTATATGAACATTTTAGAATTTTATGATCTAATTTTAACGAAAAGAACTGAAAAAAGGTAAAAAAACGTAGGCGGGAAGAAATAAAAAATTTAATTTTTTAATATCTCCGGAAAGTTTTAAAGTCGATATATTTTTTTCGAATAATGGAAGAATAGCCAGAAATTCGATTTCTATCCTTGTCTTTTGATAGAATGAATAGAATAGATGACAGAAATTGAGAATTGGAGTCTAAAAATTTTATCGTATTATTATTATGTAATAATAATGTAATGCATTTATAAAACAAATCGAAATTGATGATATGCTCAACGTGAATAGAGTGATATCGTGTAAATTCATTTCCACTGAGAACTTTTCTGTTGCAGCGAGTCAGAACTGAAATTAATGACGACCAAATTTCTACATAAAATTTTATCCCTGTATCTGTGTGTCATCGCGTTGAAAATAATGGTAGAGGTGTTAATTGTGAAATATGAAGGCAGTTTTTCCATTTCCATATGAAGTTTAATATCAATTCATTCATCACTTTACACTATTTTACAAAATATTATAATTGTATGACGATGGACCAGCACACACTGGGTTTCGTTCACAGTCTAGTTTTAGTTCGCTCATCAACTTTGACGGCAATACCGCATGAAAACAATAGTTCCGTAAATTACGTAACTATTATTACGTAACTTTTATCGACGGAAAAATGAATCGTTCATGAGACCACTTGGAGGCTTAATACCTAAATCATACACAACGCATCGATCGCTAACACTCAATAATAACAATGGCATTCCAATAAAAAAAAGACATTCTTCTCTCACTCATCCAATTTACGCCGGTATTTTTTTATCCACTTCACCTTTTTCATGATGCAACTCCGCCTGAATTTCCTGGAGAGTTTTTCCTTTAGTTTCAGGTACACAGTACCAAATGTAAATAGTCCCGAGTACATTGAAAAGAGTAAACATCCAGAAAGCAACGTGGGTACCCATAGAATCGCTGATAAGCTGATACGTTTTACCAACTACGAAGCCAGTGAAGTTGGCGATGAAAACGACAATCACACAGGCAAGTGATTTTATGTTCGTTGGGAATAGCTCGCCCATTACAGTAGTTGGGAGTGGAGCAAGACCGAGAGAATAAAATACCACGTAAAACATGCACCCAGTGGCTGGCAACCATTCAATTGAAGTAGTACTGACATTTGAGTATTGGAGATTGAAGTATACAGCAACTGCGCCTGTTGATATCAGCGATCCGATGGATGAGAATAGTAACAAGGGACGTCGTCCGTTGCGATCGACAATCACAGTGCACAATCCTGTGCAAATTATCTGAATAACCCCCAAGATTATAGCTAGGTATTTGCCCTCCAGACCAACATTGGCTTGGTCAAATATGGATTGAGTGTACATCATAATCGCTTGCGAACCTGACAACTGTTGAATCAGTCCTAGCACAGCACCGACAGTCATCGACCTGCGGTTTCCAGGCACCAGAAATATCTGCCCCAAACCACCACTATTGGCCATTTCGGCCTTCACTGAAGTTTCTATCGTGTGTAATTCTGTGTGAATATCCTTTGTGCCACGAAGAATGGTCAGTGATTTTGAGGCCTCTTCGCGACGCCCACGACGCATAAAATGGTACGGCGATTCTGGCAGCCAAATGAAGCAGCAGACGAAGGGAACGGGCAGTACCAGAGAAATGAGTGCACTTGTTTGTAATGACACTAGGGGACATACCACGTAGGAAAATAGTATGCCGACTCGCGATGCCATCATTATTGCGGTTAGCAGGATCCCTCGAATTTTAGCCGGAGCTATTTCACCCAGGTACATGGGCAAAACTGCGAAGGATGTTCCTGTGCCGGTACCCGAGATGAGTCTCGCAATCAATAGTTCCTGAATCAAGAATATAACCCTTTAGTTTTGCTCTCTTTATCGGAAATATATGTCAACGAATTGTAAATGACCACGGGGAGAAATGTTCAGTACAAATTACGGAACTCACAATGCGCTCACCGATTACGGAATCGACTCAGAAAATTTAAGTGACGGTATCTGATTCTGTAAGAGTTCCGTAAAATTTCCTACAACCACATTTCGCTCCGGAATGACGGAAAAGATAGGTAATTTTTATTGAATATTTCTCTCCGTTTTGACACACTGGTAAAAATTTTCGGCTGAATTTTCTGTGTTTAATTCCGGAATTTTTTATCGTGTTCAAGTTCTACTGAAATGTCAGGAAATATTTTCATTGAAAAATGAAATATTCCAGTGATTTTCTATTCAAATGATCTGCAAATCAATAAAATACTTGATTTTTCAGTTCAATTATTCTGTGAAAATTCAGAAAAATCAGAGAAATTGAGGGAAAAATTGATAATTCATATCATTTTGTTTCTATCAAATTGTGAAATTTCAATCCCACTGCCACTGAAAACTCATAAATTTCCGTGAATAACACGAAAAAACTTAAAACTGGAAATTTCATAACTATTTTTTCCCTAAATCCGATTCAATGTCACTCTCATGAGATTTCCTATGATATCTTCCATGAAATGTCAAAAAATTTCTAACAGTGCATATCAATGCAATAGTTACCGCTGGAGTGCGAGCAAAGACAATCATCGTCCAGCCTATGAACCATGGTACACTAGCGGCTATCAATAGAGTTTTCCTACCAGCTATATGAGCAATCACTAGAGTCATCACAGGACCCATTGCACAGCCCAGCATAAACATCGAGGCAATCCAGGCCCCTTCATCGTCAGTGATTTTGACCGGTGAGTCGGGCTCTTTGTACAGAGGTATCGCCGGTGAACTCCATCCGTAAGGGGTACTACCGGCGAATATACCGATGTAGCCTAAAAGTAGATAAAACTGGAGATAAAATTCGGTGGGACTTATTTTTACGATGTAACCAACCAGCAATAGCTGCTGCGTAGAGCCACATGATTGACTGCGCGATTTTCTCTTTATGATACGGTCTTAATATAAGTTCATTCGGTAGATACGCTGAGTAGTTGACTCCACTTTATCGGTGTTACTTGAATCTGTGTATTGACCCACGTGTCATATCTGTTTGAATAACCAATCAACTAAACTTCTTAGTTACGGAGTGATTGATAATGGGAAGACAGTGCAAATAATATTGCGTCATTATTTGAAAAAATGTTATTCTTGATTGATATAAATGATCACACGATCACCGTTTAGATAGTATAATTCATTGCCAGCAATTAATTGAAAAATTTAAAAAATCTGAAGACGCTCGCGACCGAGGGAAAATCTACTATTTTTTTAGGTGAAAAGTTGATTTTTCCGAAATACTCATTTCTTCCTCAAACCACCGCGGATCTTCCATTTAAGGGGATACGTCGATGAAATTTCAATGTCTTTACTGGGCCTTGGGACCCATTAAACATTTTGCAATATGGGAATAACTAGGGGAAATCGCGGACCCAATCGCTTTTGCCCCGTATAACCACGAAAAACTTCATTTTTTGCTGGTTTACCTTCAAAATGCTCCTTGCGCCAATGTTCATACGATTTTAGGCTTAAAAAAAATGTTCGCTGCCCTCCAACGAATAAAGTTAAGCAGCCGTTTTACTTTATTTGCAATAGATCAGGAAATAATGAATTTTTAATTTCATAAATTTTTCACGTATCCAGAGTAGGACTAAAAATTAATTGTTTCTAATAATTGAACATTGTAACTATGCGTGATCTAATTTTTATGAACCAAAAAAATGGCAGGTTGGACCCAAAAGGCGGGTTCAAAGGAAAATTTATGAAATTCAAAATTCATTTATACATGATCTATTGCGAATGAAGTAAAATGGAAGCTTAACATTATTCTTTGGAGTGTAACGAACATTTTGTTCTTTTTTTTTTTTATTGGTTTATAGTATAGAACCCATATCAGGGTTATTTACACTGTCGGTGAGATTTTGTTCTTTAAAAATCTGAAATCGCATGAAAACTACGGCGCCCGGAGCAGTTTGAAGGTAAAAACAGGAAAAAATGAAGTTTTTCGTGGTTATACGGGGCAAAATCGATCGGGTCCGCGAGTTTCCCTAGTAATTCCCATGTTCCGTCGTATATCACAAATTGTTCAATGGATCCCAAGGCCCAGTGAAGACTTTTAAATGCCACTGACGTATCGTAATCACCTCTTCACCAATTTTAATATATTTCCATTTGAGACTTTGCCCTCCTAAAAGTTTACTGTTATAGTTGTGCTTCGCCCAAATCTATTCATATACACCACCTTTAATGCGTAAAATTTTTTTGCGGGGCTGCAAGTCTTCTTGAATTTCCTGCAGAGTTTTCAGTTAAAAAAGTGGATATAAATAATTTCTGCTACGTTAGAGCTCGTAAATACCCTAAATCCAACGTAGGATGCAGCTGCATTACAAATTACTTGATACCGTTTTCCAACCACAAATGCAACAATATACGTCCAGAAAACGGCGGCAACCAAGCTGAGGATTCTACGTTTGTTGAAAATATTAGCTTGCTTGTCCTACGCGGAGAAAAATGTACAATAAAAATTATCCCAGAGATATGGATAAAATGTAGTGAACAAAATGTATTCGTACGGCAGAATGCACGCGTAGTGAAAATTACTTGTTGCTGTCATGCATTTTGAAGAACGTCAGGTACACTGACAGGAAGAATTAGTTTTACCAAGAGAATATCATTTGAACCAATCAGGATTTCGTTGTTAATTTTCAATGTAACATGGTTTTATAGTGAATACCAGTTATCTCTTGTGATACGTTTGAGTGGGAGAAAGACAAATTCTCTAGAATTTAAGTTCCTTTTTTTGTCGTATAAAAATTTGTTCTTTGAAGAAATTTGTTGGTGTATCCAAAAACCGAAATAATTCTTATGACTAAATAAAAGGTTGTTCCAAGTAAATTATAATTCAGCTCAACGTTTGAATATTGTTACACGGGAAACTTGGAAATTGCAGTAAGATGTTGTTTTTAATGATTTTTCTCTTTCTGCGTCAGAAGAAAATCGCATTAGTTTACCATAACATATGACGGCAATCCTGGATACAGGATCCAAAATACAGATCCTGGAACAAATTTAGATACACACAGAAGAATCTAAACGTAAGTTACATTTTACTAAACGTAATTTACGCTTAATGCTAATATGATGTCTGGTGGCTTCTTTCCGTCATGAACATCAGAATTTAGCCTTCAAACAGCCGTATTTTACTGTCAAAATAAAAACGGAAATTACGTCCAAACAACGCGTCTTTTACGTTTCACTAAGCGTATCTTACGCTTAAGAAATCGTAAATTACGATCTTAATAGAAACATATTTTAGCATTTACTTATGCATAATTTACTTTCTTCAATTAACTTTAGTTTGTCTAAAAACAAAATATCTTTTTTTTCTTCGTTAATTACGCAATAAGTAAACATAAAATACGAAAAAAAATCAGTGTAATTGACGGCAATTTCGAGTGTAATTGCCGTTGATTTTTCTCTGTGTATCACAAATCTCGTTCAATGGAACATACAGAAAACTCAATTTCATGATCGGTTTCATTTAAGAATACAACATTGAATTCATTCATCTCCTATAGCTACAAATTTTTTATCAGTTCATGAAAGTAGAAAATTTTTTGCCTGAAGATTGTAAAAGGCTTAAAAAATAGAACTTTTTGATTCTTGTGGTAAATTCACTCCGAGTACTGTGTGATGCACAGTTGCACCAAACGAGGTTTCTTAACTGTTACCGCGATTTGTTAATAGTTAACGAATCGTGATAATAGTTAAAAAGTCTCGTTTGGTACGACTAAACCGTTCTATCAGTGTGGTCTTATTATTTATTTATGATTTTTTCTATATAATATAACTATATAATACTTGTTCCAACAAAAAAACTAATAAAATCTCAATAAAATTAATTTTTTTCTGCCAGTGTAAAACTAGACATCCCTATCTAAGGGAAAAATCACTCATGTTTACCCTCACATCGCAGTGGACTGTCAAGGAAAATCCGCGCGGAACTTGATTTTTTTCAACTTTCTATTGTGAAAATTAACTCAAAATAGTGCAGTATTTACCTTTCTTATCGTATTTTTCATGAGTTTCACTCAGGATAATTTAACTGGATTTTTCCCACTACGTTGCTGTTGTAATTCTAGGCAGATCAACAGAATAAAATCCTCTGCGTACCATGCAGTCAGTTGTTAGAGGCACTCAATAAAAAGTATCAACATCGGTCTGTCGGATTAAAGTAAACAGCAATACTGGTAATCGGTGCAAGTGATCCCCCCATCGAGAGTCAATATGGACGATGGCCGAAGTGATCAACAACTGAATTATTGTAAGTGCTACACGGAGAGAAAAGTTGGATACAAAATTATCACGAAAATCGTGATAAATTTCACTATACGAATGGTAATCGTGTGACAAAATGTAATTCGATGAAAAAATACAGATTTTTAGTGAATATCTTACGATTTTCTCGGTACAAAAATACATCTATAGATGCAAAAATTGTCTTCCTGTTTATCCCTATCAAAAAATATATTTAAAAAATATATAATATGGGGCAATTCCATATATTTGTCAAATTCATGAAGAATATATAAAAAAATATGTATAAAATATATGTTTCATATATTTTTTTGGGACATTTTAAGATATTTTTTAATATATTTTTCAAAATATAAATGTTTCCGTGTGGATAGGGGAGAGTAGAGTAAAACGGACCGGGAGAGCAAAACCGACCGCCAAAGCAAACCGGACCACTGACAGAAAATTGGTAATTTTGGCTTTTTTTTTCTTTCCTTCAAATCAGGAACACTGAATGTGTTGAATTAAAAGTGAGTTTCTTGGATCGTAACCGTCACAGGGGTTTTATAGACAACAAGCGTCGTTGAACCGCAATTTGATCAGATTTTCTAATCACTCAAACCACAAATGACTTCGAATTTGCTCCATTCGGAAGCAAAAACAAAAATTATCGATTTTCTGTCAGTGATCCGTTTGGCCCGCCTGGTCCGTTTTGCCCTACCTTCGCTTAGTAAAATTTCCCACACTGACAGGCGATTGTTGTTTTTTTGCACCCGTCTGCGGGTCATGGGGGCGGACGCACGGAGAGAACTATTCAATAAAAATTACGTATCTTTTCCGTAATTCCGAAGCGAAATATGGTTGTAGGAAAGTTTACGGAACTGTCACGGAATTTTCCAGAGCATTTTGTAATTTTTATCTGAATCTCCTGTGAAAAATTACGATACCGTCACTTAAATTTTCTGAGTCGATTCCGTAATTGATGAGCGAACTGTGAGTTTCGTAATTTTTACTGAATATTTCTCTGCGTGCGGAAGTGAATTTTTACCAAACGTGTTCGGTAAAAATAGAAATAATTGTATACATATAATAAGAACAAATAATTGTATATTTTTGCCGCGTATGTTTTTGAACATTTTGTTGATGACCAATGAAGGAGTAATTAAAAAAAAAGATGGCTTGGTGGTCACTCACAGCACATACTCCCGAATTTTGGCGTGTGGATCGACATAGATTAAGGTGAGTCAGTTTTACATCACACAGGATATTGCCCAACAATTTCTCTCGGGTGAGCCACACAACTTGAATTAATTGTGATGCGACCGAAGTTTGTCCACTCAGTTTTGATGGGCTTTTACAGCGCCGTTCGAAAATTTCATAGAAAAATTGAAAAAGCTTTCCAGGAGGGCCTACATCCTCTACACAGAGAAAAATGTTCAGTAAAAATTACGGAGCTCTCAATTCACTCACCAATTACGGAATCGACTCAGAAAATTTAAGTGACGGTATCGTAATTTTTCACAGGAGCTTCAGATTAAAATTACGGAACGCTCCGGAAAGATTCCATGACAGTTCCAGAAAAACTACAACCACCTTTCACGCCGGAATTACGAAAAAGATACGGAATTTTTATTGAATATTTCTCTCTGTGTAATACCCTGTAATACCTGTT